GGAGGCAGTCTTATTCATAATTGCACAACATCAAGCTTGAAGAGGAGGGCAAAGAAGTCTGGGTCTGCACACCATCATTCCTTGGAATGGGAAGGAGCTTAGCAGGGCACCAAGCATGTCCATATCTCAGTCTCATTCCAGACCTAACTCCCTGCCCACTACCATACCTCCCCCCTCCCCATTTTATAGGGATTCCCTGGCCACATCTTGCAGTTTATTTTGGTTTCCCTCTCCACCTGTGGGAGGATCTAACCAGCTGGGCAGCAGATTTACACTGCATTAGAAAAACACAATCAACCAAATCCACAATAGTCTAAGCCCAGCAATGGACCTCCACCCTGTCCACCCTTGTAGTCTATACCCCCCTCAATCACCAGCTAGCCATGGTCAATAGGAGCTGTTGCCTCTGCTCAGACAGAACTGCAGCTTCTGGAGTCTGCCTCGAGCTTTTCCTGTTGTCCTGGCAAGGCAATCCCAGGCACACCTGTTGTGGCCTCAGTTATTATTCAGGTAATTAGCTCTAATCACCAGTCAGCCATGGTCTGAAGGAGCTATTGCCTCTGATGAGACAGAGCTATTTAGGTGGAAAGGTAGTATGGAAATGCTTTCAATAAATTAAAAAATGACTAATGTTGCTGTGATAAGTACCACTTTCTAGCTTGAGGGACAGGAGAAAGTGGCAGATCACCCTCAAGCTCCTCTTCAGATGTTAGCAGGCTGTCCACAGCAATTGGATAGGGGAATGGGATATGAGGAGGGGACAGGTTGTCCTTACAATGGTTCTAGTAATACCCAGTTGGATGGATGTGGAGGGCAGAGCTGCTGGCAAACAAGAGTCTTAAGACGTATGTTTTGACTTGGTCTTAGATGAGCTCCTCAAAACTAATGCTGCCTTCTGTGAGGAACAAGCACCTCCAACTATTGAGCTGAGGGCACTAGAACGATGGAGGGTATACAGGTCCTTTTCTTAAGCTGCAAGTGGCACTTGAATGAGGGAGTTTCTGGCAATGATAAAGCCTTCCCCCAAAGAGCTGCCTTTAACCAGGAGGCCCTCTCTTTATGCACCTTATGAGTTTCTCCCAAAGAACAGAGACACAAGCTATAGATGGCAGTCTGGACTATCTTAGTGCCACATTTGGTGCACTTTTTAAACATAGCCATGCTGAGAGGAAGAGAAATCTCAAATTCAGTTTCCAGATCAAGAGAACAAAACTTGATGAACAGCTTGATGAACAGCTGAAGAACTAAGAATGGCTGAAGAAAGCAAAATACACAGAATGATTCCTTCCAGGCCCATACCTACTGTGGGGCATTTCGGGGCTCTGCCCCTTCAAATGTGAGGCATGCCCCACAACAGCTGTTGCCCCTCTCACCCCTCCCCTCCTGTGACATTAAAAGGGCCTTCCAGCTGATCAGTGGAGCACATGACCCACTGATCAGCTGGAGGGCCCTTTTAAATCTTGCAGCCGCCCCTCTCCCTCATCTCTTCTAAGATTGGAGGAGGTGAGGGAAAGGGTCGGCTGTCGGTTGTAGACCTTCCCTGAACTCCAAGCGGTGAATTCGCTGCTTGGAGTTCAGGAAAGGTGTGTGGCCACTCTTCTCCATTGCCCCTCCCCCATCCCCCTCCCCTGCTGCCCCACAAAATTTCCCCATGCCCCACCAACCCAAAATTTCTGGCTACAGGGCTGATCCGTTCTATATGGCAGTGAAGGAAAGACTGAGGGAAGGAGTCCCTCCCCATGTTACATGCTGGTTTTGACCGGAAGAGGCTGGCTCGCTCCAAGGGGCAGGAGAGCACTCCTCATGCTATAGAAAGTGCTGGAGAAGTTTAAAACTCTGATCTCTGCAGCTGTCCTGATGATGCACTGTCCCAATTTGGGACTGCACAAAAGCCACAAACATTAACTAAATGCTCTCTCCCTGTTTTTCTATAGAATTTGACAGAGGGATATAAAGTGCAGAGTTGTATTATGGTTCTCTTTTCACTGCACACCGCACAACTCTGTCTAGGAATCTCTTTTGCAAGTGAAGTTGCCTCATTACTGGTCATTTGTCACACAATGGAAATAAGTAAGTAATCTTACAAGATTTCATATTTTCAAGTATTGAGAGTCAGGAGACGATGAACCATAACAAGGCTTTTATTCATAACATTGTTCAGCTCTGATCAACTCTGTGACAGCAGCACTCAAATTTATACGATTGTTAGCAGAGAACTATATACAATGTAACTATATACATTAGGTGTGATTGGACCTAAGCAGAGCCCTGTGATTGGTTAGCCTAGGTGGCTTCAGGACCAATAGACGGTCTTTATTAAACAGCCAATAGCATTTGCGAACCACGATACTGGAGGCAATTCAAACAGGCTAGAATCAAACCCCAAACACAACACATATGTTTATTTATTTTATTAAAACAACTATTAAGATATTTAGGGGATTTGTGGAGTTTTTGCAAACTTGGGGTTTCCCCTGGATTTGCCGAAATAACTACATTTTAATTACTTTTTAAACTATGTGTTTCAAGTATTTTAGTTCTAATATTTTTATTTATTGTTGTCACCCATCTTGGGTCTTGATTGTGTCACGAGAAAGGTGGGATATACAAATGTGATTGATAGATACACAGATACTTTGAAAGAAACCCATTTGTTTTCCTAGAAACAGGGATCTCTGTAGGGAATCCTTACATGATTTTATAGATGTTATATGGTTGCCAGCCCCCAGGTCCTAGCAGGGGTTCCCCCACTTCTGGGGGCTCCAATCTGCCACCAGCCACATGGCCGGTGGAGGAAGCCTACCCCCAAGCCCTCCCCCAAGCCACAGCCACCTGTAGTCAGTCCTCTCCCTCCCCTCTTGCAGAGATTTAAAAAGCTTCAGCTGATCGGTGGGGAGCACATGGCCTGCCAATCACCTGGAGGATCCTTTAAATTTTTCAGCAGGGAGGGAGAGGGGCTGTCGCCAGCTGCAACTCTGCTTGCAAAAAGACTCTTTAAAGAAATTTTTTGCAAGCGGGATGGGGATTGTGGGGTGCACAGGTCTGATTTCCTAGCAGTGATTTACCATTTGGGATTCAGGCCCAGTGGGCCACATGCTCCCCGCTGATCAGCTTAAGCTCTTTAAATCTCTGCAGGAGGGGAGGGAGAGAGGTGGACCTGGGTGGATGCAGCTTGGGGGCGAGGCTTGGGGTGTCACCACCCCCCCCCAGAATGCCCCCCAGATCCCCTCACTGGAGCAATGAAGGGACCTGGCAACTCTACTATGTTAAGAAAGGCAGGTACATGCCAAGCTATGAAAGCCTTTAGAAACAGGCCTGGAAACTAACATACACCCAGTGTGATTTGTACAGTCACTTAACATGATCCAATCTTCCCACTCCTGCAAGAAAGTACATAGCAGCATTCTGAACAAACTAAAGCTTCCCCCAAAATTATAATGTGTATGGCACAGAATCACAGAGTTGGAATAGTAGTTTATATTCCAAGCTGTAATACACAAATGATTTTTCACACACAGAGAATCCAGAATGGGGAATTTTATTCAAAAGCAAGTGCAGTTTCAGTGTTTATCCTATTAATTCCACATGCAAGATAAATGGAAAGCCTTATCTTGCTTTAATAATGCAAAATAAGTTAACCTTTGCTTTTAAAAATCTGTTAAATCTGCACAGGCCAATTTCACCTCTTCAAATGATAAGCCATTCCTAGTTAAGGCATTTTTTCCTTTCTACCACTTTGATTTTCATCTAGCATCTCCTAATTGGTTTCCACTTAGGACCAGTTTCAACTAAAGTGCTAAATAGTGGGATGGATCCTGCAGTCCTCTTCTTGTAGTGCTTTCCAAGTTAATTTCTATGAGATGGTAGTTGAACAGCAAACGGTGTCACCAAGAAGCAATCTTGCATCTGCTGTTCTCTCACCTCATTTCAGAAGGTGAGTGTAACAGATAGGGTCTCTGAAAAGGATCTTACTGAGTAGGCTCATGTGGAAGCAGGTTAGGGTTGCCAGGTCCCCCCTGGCCACAGGTGGGGGATCGCAGAGGAGAGTTGCCAGATCCAGGATGGGAAACTCCTGGAGATTAGGGGTGGAGTTTAGGAGAATAGGGACCTCAATAGGGTACAACGCATTTAAAGAGAATTTGTATAAGATGTTTTATAGATGGTATTTAACACCAGATAGATTAACTGAAATGTATAAAAACATACCAAATAGTTGCTAGAAGTGTAAAAAGCATGTAGGTACATTTTACCATATGTGGTGGATATGTGAAATTTTACATAAATTCTGGATTATGATGCATACATTTATACAGACAATTCGACAGATCTCAATACCTTTTCGACCAGAATTGTTTTTACTGAATTGTATACCAGATAATTTTGACAAAAATCAAAACACTTTATAATCCATGCAGTAACAGCAGCTAGAATCTTATTTTGCAACCCTTTGGAAACTTCCAACTATACCTTCAGAACAAGACTTAATAGTGAAGATTAAGTATCCATTTTCTCCAGGGGAACTGATCTCCATAGTCTAGAGATGAGCTGTAATTCTGGGGGATCCCCAGGTTCCACCTGGAGGCTGGTGGTCCTTCATATAAATATCCTTTAAATTATGCAGTACGCTGTAGGTTTAACAGCACCTGGCACTACCTAAAGTTATAGCTTTATCCAAACATTCCAAGGTCAGCAGGGAAATAATATTTTGGAGATTATATGTTATTTGCTAGTTCATAAGCACACTGACATAGATATAAAGAAATGTTTTGGAAAAAATATACTTATGCATTTGTTTTATCATGCAAGATCCCCATGGCTTTCAGTTTAAAATGTATAAGAACTAAAAAACTCCAATAAAACAAATCAGAATCTGAATATTAAGAGCTGAGATTTTATTAAGAACATTAAATTTGACAGTACTTACAACAAAAAATTTTAAAGTGTTGGCAGCACTATGTTAAATTTCAAACAAATTAAAAGGTAAAGATGGTACTACTCACCCCTTCTGCTTTCTCCTCTGTGTTAGCCAGCATTTCCTGGAGAGCCCGCACTGACAAAGACTGTTCCAGTACAAAAGTGCAGATGGAGAGATCTGGTGGAACATTCTAATTGAAGAAAAGAGGAGAAGAAAACATTGATGAAACATTTCTCATCATCATGCACATGGCTCCTTACTAATCTCTGATAAAATCCCAAAGAGCTAACCAAACAGAATAAAAATATTTTTAAATGAAATCTATTCACAGCATTTAATTTTGCAAATTTATTTAATTGAATGAATCTATACTGGGTTAAATTCTAAATGGTTACAATATTAGTACAGCAGAAGGACTTTATAGATTGATAGCCAAGTGCACAGAGCAAGGTTTAAAAGCAATTAAGAACAGCATCTTGAAATTTTTCAGAATTACAAAAATACTTGTTTTTTTTATAGATTTCATCAGCAGGAGAAGTTGTTTTTTACAGATGACTATTCACTTCTACTATTATTTAAATTCATTTAGACTCAGTATGGGGTACACAGAATACAAAAGCAAAGTCACTGCTTGAACGTTCTTCATGTTACATAAAATGGGCAACACAGAAAAATGGGGAGAGGTCAGAGTTGAACAGAATATTCTAGTAAAGTAAAATTGAATGATATGGCAGTGGAGTTAGTGACAAAATAAATCTATTGGGTCCATAAAGGCTTTATTAAAAAACAAGTACTAGAAAGACACCTTTAAGACAAGAGGTAAGAGGACTGATGAATACAGACAGAGTGGCTGATATTTGTAGAGCAAGCAAAATCATACTATCTATCAATTAATAGGTGAACTTTGGAACATTTTGTGCATGCATACTGGATAAGGCTTTGGCTGTCGAGGAGGTGTGAAAGCACACACATAGCCCTCACTACCACCAGGAAGAGGTGGGCAGGTTGCACTTCAGTGAGTAGAAGGGGAAAGCAGGCAAGCTGTGCTGGCATACATGCTAACAGCAGGAAGGAGGTGGAGCCAGTGCTCGCTCACATAAAACCACACTGCTTCAATGATTGGCAGCTGTCCTGGGTCAGGAGCAGCAGCCATACCTGCCATATCCAGGAAGAGGTTACTGCTACACACCCACCTGTTTACTTGTGAGCTGTACAACTGATAAAAGTGGTGGGGGAAGTAGCTGCTGCCAGATATTGCTCTGCAGTGAAGTGCAAGTGCAAAAGCACCACCCTGCTCCCTTCTGGAATTTGTCCAGCATATGTAAGGTGCAAGAGAGGCCTCACCAGAAGACATTTTGCTATTGGCCTACCACCTCTTGGAAAAGGCCCTTGTACCTCAAACATTCCGAAATTTCATATTCACCAGCTTGGGGCTGGGGCATGGAAGTTTAATGTGGATGCTTACTACTTTTTAGAAAGTAAATGTTCACATTGTATCACATCTATAACTACTTTGTACGCTTGGGGACATTAGTTATTTATTACCACGTGAGTTATGAAAGAAAATGTTGGCAGAGTTCTGGAAATAATCCAATCCATGCCTTAGTTTGCTTTTAAAGGATTTACTGCAACAGGATTTTGAAGAAAAACAATAACTGACTGCAGGCCATTAATGTAACAAAGAGGCCTACAATCACTAACACATAGTTATTACAAGCGCTAACACATAACAGAGAGAGAAAAACAAGGCCAAACTACAAGAGAAAATAGTCAGTAAACCCTAAACACTACAGAAGCTCCACAGCTCCTCCTAGGGTTGTTGTTGTTCAGTCGCACAATCGCGTGGGGGGTGGCATATGCTAATGAGTTATGCTAATGAGTCCCCCTAGCTCTTTTTCTACGAAATGACCCCTGGTTAGTACAAGCACTAACATATAACAGAGAGAGAAAAACAAAAGGTAGGCTGAACTACAAGAGAAAATAGTCAATAAACCCTAAACACTACGGAAGCTCTACAGCTCCCCCTAGGGTACAAGTGGACTAAGCTCCTCTTTCAACAATATTTACAATTTTAGACTCTTAGCAGGCTGTCGCTTCTCCAACAGAAAATAGATGACTCTGATAACTGTGATGACTTGAGTCCTTGTGAGAAATCCAGACTATAAATGATGTAAATAAATAAAGTGATTGACAAATATATTCTGTATTACAGTTGTATAACTAATAATTTTGTCATTGTCAAAAAGTCCAAAATGTCAGAAATTCTCAAAGTTCTTGCTCTAGCAAAGTGAGACAAAATTACCAAGAGGGAAAGAGGGGGAAAGGTTCTCTTTCAGATTAACCAGAGAAACAAACAAAATATCAGGTAGATTCTGCCACCAGGTTCCCTTTTAGGCAGTTCCCAACAGACCAGGAGAGAGGGAACCAACCGCTCCTGTCTGGTTCTGGAACTTACACAACAAAACAGAGCTGCAGGGTAGACTGCAGTAAATAAAACAACAGCTTTCTGGTAGAGATGGTCAAGATGTTCAGGCAAACAAGATTTCGGCTTTGAGACTTGGTAACACAAACAACTGACAAAATATCAAAGTAAAATATATTTCAAGAACCCTAGACAAGACAGTGTAGGTTGAAAAAAATAATAAAATCTTAGCTTATCCAGATTAACTAAACTTGAGGCAATAATACAGCATTACCTTTCCAAAAACAGAGTTGCAGTTGGTCAGCAAACAGAGTAGTCATCTCTTAGCCCATCCAGGCATAAGCAAACAGGAACATCATGGCTGGGGTTCTGCACTACTGGACCACGCTAGGCTGCACAGTACAGACCAGAGAGGGGTGCCACTGGTACTATTGACAAACAGACATGTCTCTAGCGCCAGACAACCTGAACCATAAATGAACTAGGACGTATTCTTATAGGAAACTGGCCCCTCATCGGGCTAGGTCTTTACCCAATGGTGGGTCAGGAAAATGATGTCAGCTTTTGAGGTTGCCATGCAAATAACATCCCATAATGAGCTTTCTTACCCATGATGCTCAGTACATCCTATAATAATCTTATCCCATAATATTCAGGCCCGTGGAGGAGAATGGAAAGTTACTTTGTAGTACAACCTCCGGCCCTCCCACATACAGGTGTTACAGGGTTAATTAGTTGGAATGTGCCTAATGGTCAGCACCACGGTCTCCTTATCACCACAGCTGTAAGCAATTCTGCAAGGTCACTAAGAGCTTTTCAGAGTTATCTCTGTTTCCGAAGAGAAGTTTGTCACTGTGCAAGGTTTTATTACAAGCCCTCATACCAAACCTGAACCATAGGTTAGGCAAACACTTACAATTAAGAAATCATTTTCTTTACAGTCATATTTACATTTATTAGGAAATCTGTAGATGAAATCTTGCCATTGAGCTCATTACATGGCCTTAGACAATCTTCTATTCTCTCAGCCTAATATTTTTCATCTTCAGTATGAGGCTAATTAACCATTTTTATCCAAATTTGCTTCCATATTTTCCGCTAGATTTTGTCATTCCAAATAACTTAGGCTGCTTTCACAAAGGGGTGAGGACAGTATTCACGTGCCCCATCTCCACACCGTTTGTAGCTCCTCTTCCTACCCATTATACCAGCACAGAAGTACTGACCTGACAACAATCTTACCAGTCCAGTCCCCAAAGCCAGCAACACCCTTTAGCCCAGCTAAGCCTTGGCTGAGATTTTTTTAAAGCCTGGTTAAAGGGCGGAGGTGGGGGGAACAGAAAAAAAGGTTGCTTACCTGTAACTGATTATCTTCGAGTGGTCATCTGTGCATTCACAACTCTGGGATATAGTGCACCTGCACTGACCTCGATCAATTCCTCTTGAAAGCGGAAGGGATTTTTGCACCCGCTCCCCAGTCACACTCCAGCCCCACTGCACATGACCAAGGGAGGGGCATGACAATCCCGCCAGTTCCTTCTGACCACTGCCATCAGTCTCAGAGTAATAAAAAAGGAGAGGACTGAAAGCAGAGGGGAAGGAGGGAAGGTGGTATGAATGCACAGATGACCACTCGAAGATCATCAGTTACAGGTAAGCAACCTGTTTATCTTCTTCGTGGTCTCTGTTCATCACACCTCTGGGAGATTAGCAAGCAAAAAACAGGCCTACCTGGAGGAGGAAGCTGAAGGTCCTAGATCTGTGCAGCCTGCAACACTGCCCATCCCACCACAGAATGCTGATGAAGATGCACATCCAGGGTGTAATGCTTCACGAACGTGTGGGGGTAGCCCAGGTTGCTGCTTGACAGATATCAGTGAGCGATGAACCTCTCAGGAAGGCTGTGGATGTAGCTACTGCCCGGGTGGAATGCGTTCGGAGTGGGCCTGGAAGTGGCTGTTTGGCCAGTAAGTAGCACAGTTTGATGGTTTCCACAATCCACTTGTATAGACATTGCGAAGAAAGCTTCTTCCCTGCAAAGGAGTGCTATAGGAGGCGAACAAGGCTGGTGACTGATGGAATGATCTTGTCCTATTGAGGTAGAAGAATACGGCTCTCTTGACATCTAGAATATGAAGACGGCGTTCCTCATCGCTTGTAGGGGACAGGAAAAACATCGGTTTTCGCAAATGAAACTCAGAAACAACCTTGGGCAGGAAAGAGACATCCAGGGCCAAGGTGACACCATCATGGTGAAAAACCAAATACAGAGAATCGCAATGGAATGCAGACAATTCGCTCACTCGTCTTGCTGAGGTGATGGCTACTAGGAAAGCAGTCTTCCACGAGAGAAGCTGCAGACTAGACGTGGCCATGGGCTCAAACGGCTTGCCCGCTAATCTGGACAGTACTAGAGGTAAGTCCCAGGAGGGAGTCAGCTCACGAGCCGGAGGAAAGAGGTGAGTGAGGCCCTTCAAAAACTGCTTCGTTTGCGGGTGAGAAAAAATGGAATAGCCGTCCACCGCAGGATGAATGGCGGAAATGGCGGCTAAATAGACTTTTAATGAGGAGCAACTAAGACCCAAGTACAGGCAGGTCAACAAGAATCCGAAAACTATCTTCAAGTCCATAGGGGGTGGTGATAAACCCAACAACTTGAGGTAAGACAGGAATTTCTTCCACTTCCCTGTCTGTTATTATTTTGGTAGGTAGTGTGTGGAGCCTGACCACGTGGTTGAGGAAAGCTTTGGCCAAAGTCTGAGCCGTTG